ATTTTGGGAACCAAGGGCAGGTCATTGTGAGCAGCAAGTCATCGCGTTAAACAAATTTTAGCACCCACTGCGAAGCTTTTAGCAAAGTCGACAGCTGGGCTAGTTGGTTTTTAACAGTGCAGCTGTTTAAACCGACCATAAACACACTTTCGTGTGTACAGAAGCTATCATCACCATGAACAAGTATGCGCCACAAAAACTGTACAATTTATTGCTACGTTATTGCGCACCGTTTAGAAGATAAAGGCTGAACCACAAGAGCGCAAGCGCAAACTTTCAACTGAATTTATTGTATGGAAGCATGATGTTTCTATAAAATCGCGTTTCGTACATTTACATAAAAACAAACCCGGATCATGTACGACGAATGAACAACGCAATGCCGATAGCCACTCATGCTGCGTAATAGATACTGAATAGATAATTATGAATATAGTTATTGATTAATAAGCGAAAAGATACCCAGGAATGAATATTGATGAATAGGTGCCAACTAGTACCCCTCAAAACTGGGCAAATTCCACTACTCACAAACAGTCGGCTGAAAATGAAAGAGACAGCAGATGCGCCGCAAACCCCAGTTATTTTTTTTATGGAGATGTAACCAGTAATTGAGAAATGCTTTAATAAACCATTGGAATTAACCGAGCGATAAACACAGTGGTCGCATGCTTCAGTGGTACGTAAACTGTCAATTTTTATGAAAGGGAACACGAGAGCGTGCATTCAAGTGGGAGCCAGAGCAACTACAGCCTGGCTGCGGCGGCTGCGTTTCCGATGGAGGCGGAAATGTTGTAGGCCCGTGTGCTCAGATTTGGGTGCACGTTAAAGAGCCCCAGGTGGTCGAAATTTCCGGAGCCCTTCACTACGGCGTCTCTCATAATCACATGGTGGCTTTGGAACGTTGAACCCCACATATCTATCTATCTATCTATCTATCTATCTATCTATCTATCTATCTATCTATCTATCTATCTATCTATCTATCTATCTATCTATCTATCTATCTATCTATCTATCTATCTATCTATCTATCTATCAGCAACTACAGCCTCTTTTATTTCGGGAGGAGACCCCCTTAAAATGGCTATCTTTCGATCTCTATTTTTTTGATCTCCAAATATCGGGGAGGGGGGGGGGGCACGTTTTCGGTGTGCCACCCCCTGGCTACGCCCCTGTCTCGCGCCGAGCAAAACAAGCAGTCATTGATGACATGGAACCAGCAGCAAGATTGGTACCCCCTCCCCCTCAAGGCGATTACCGCCTTGAGGGGGAGGAGTACCAATGGGAGATGACGCGAAAAGAGGCTGTGGTTGCTCTACCTCTCACTTGAACGCGCAGCCATCAGCCGCCAGAGTGCGTAGGCCACGTGCATCATATAAATTTGCACTGTACAACGAGAGAATACTAGGGAATGGAGAAGGCAAGGGCAGCTGCGAGAATACCCCGAAGCGACGGAAGCCCTTCTTGAACGACGACATGTACGTATACATAATGAGTGGTACCGACACTCGGTTTCAGCGCGAGTTTCTGCCCCTAGCTGTCTGTCGATCGTTTAACTAGAACATTTTTGTGCTGAGGAGCATCATAAAAAAGACCAACGTGGCATCACCTATGAGCTAGCAAAAGACTAGCAACAACTTGAGAAGCAACCACATTAGACTCCAGAATCATCCAGCTTCGCTGTTTAAGCCTTGCACGGCTTAGTGCAAGCTTCATACCTTTTTATAGAGCCAAGCTATTAAAACTCGAAATAATAAAACTTCATAACTTCGGGTGTCCGCGAAAAATCATCCGCGTCATTCCTCCTCAATGACAAAGCTACAGCTGCGCATCACTTGGATTCAACCTGGCCTAGCTGTGCATGCGCCGCCAAGACACGCCCACAGAGGGGGATGGTTCGCGCAGTTACCGCGCCGAGTTTGTCCGATGTGGCTGCCTGGCGCCAGCCGAGCATGAGCGACGAAAGTAAACGCTTCTACCGGGGGTGCCAAATCCAGATTTGCAACCTCATTCCTGGCGCTGGAGTTTGGGCGGTCTTGCATGATCTGTCACAGGCTGTGGTTCGATGCTACTCTGTCTACGTCGAATAAATACCTACAGCATTAGCCTGGAAGGTCTCGTTAAACACCAAGATCAACCAGCTTCGTTGTTTCTTAAGCTTTACACGGCCAGTGTAAGTTCAATGTACACTGTAACATATACATGTGACCGTAGCCACCGTTTGCTTCCATTTCAGTTCCAGGATGAACTTGCACTCGTCTACGGTGGTGCGGGTGCTGGTGTGGCTTTTCTGCATGAGCGGCTTCCTGTACCAAACGTCGGAGATCATCGAGATGTACCGGCGATACCCGTTCACGGTGACCATCATCGAGGAAGTGCGCCAGAACATACTGTTTCCGGGACTGACCGTGTGCGTCGAGAGCTGGTGAGTCTGCTGGCTCATCACTTGTCACGTGGTGTGGCCTGACATCGCTGGAAATCGCTGGAGCGTTGGTCAGCGCTTATTTATGCACTTTCAGTTGCGTAGTAGGTTAATGTGCTTTCACAGGAGTGCCACGAGAACAAACGGTTGGACAAGTGCGTTTGTTGTCCCCAAGGCAGAAGACAGTGCCACTTGTCGAAACTTTGGATTCAGCAAACAAAATTAACCTCTTCATGCCCCCCCCCCCTCCCATCTTCCCTTGAATGTCTGCCCTGCTTGACTTACGTATTAACGGCACCTAATATGTGACGCCTCGAGTAATCACCCGCGCAAAATAAACGTTGCGGCGTAACAGGTAACGTATATAAAACGACTTTAAAAGCTAAGGGCTACAGCATTCTGTCTCAATGCAGAGCTTTCATATTCGGTGAGTATATGTGTTTTCTGCCCTGCTTTAACTCGAGTGAGTGGATTTCTCAATAACATTTATGATTTACACGAAGCAGCACGACACGACTGGACCGACAATAAGAGGTCATACGCAGCACAAGCTTCCAGCTATTTATTTACGACAAGTATTATTTATAAAATGGCACTGTATTAATAGTAAAAGCAAGCAGACAATGTATAAAGACACAGAACAGCGACCTAAACTGTCATCACTGTGCGTCTAATCTTATACTCGGTACCTGTTGTGTTGCGCTGCTCCGTATAAGTTATAAGAATCAGTATGCATGTTCGTGCGTGCGTTTGTTTGAGTGCGTGTATACTGATAAATGCGAAATTGAAAAAAGTCGGGGCACAAAATTGACCCCCCCCCCCCCGGCTACGCCCCAGCTGACCAACAAGTCAGAGATCGTATCTTTGAAAATTTGTAAAGTATGAGTGGATAACTGCATGACAAAGGTTACTTAGTCTACCAACGAGACAAGGCGGCGTCTTGTTTTGTCTCGTTGTCCTGTTTTACGTTTCTTACAATGATTTACTATCTTTCTTTTAATCATACTGAATTATTCACGATGTTTTGTGCAGGATCAATGCATCAAGGTTGTGCGAGCTGTACCCGAAAGCGTGCACTGTTGAAACTCAGGTAACTAATGCTAACAATAATAATAATTTTCAAGTTTTAACGCCCCAAAACCACGATATATCGCGTACTAATTCTGCGAGCTAATGCTACATAGAATATTGAGTCATTTGTCTTTATATGCTATGGTACTTTTGAGTGGTCACCAAAACGTATACTTTTGCGAAAATTGGGATTAGTAAGGCTTGACGAAGTCTATAGAACGCTCACACACGCGAGAATACAGAAGTGTCTGGTGTGTTCTATGAAGTATAATTAACGAAAGGTGTTGAGGAAGCATACTGTAATATACGATCAATCTTAAACAAACAATAGTGCATTTTTGTCCTCTCTGGTGAAATGGCAGAGCTATGGGCATGATGATTCGGGAATAAGTGAGGTGTTTCGCAATCTCGGAATAAAAATGGCGCAAAAGATGGAGAACAAGAAAAAGGGGGACACAAACAGCGCTGGCTGAGAAGGTTTGTTTTGTCAACGCCACGAAATATATATTTGCGCAGTCCTGAACGACAGAAAGAGGGAACAATGATAAATAAAAATAAATAAGAAATTATGAGATTCATCACGACTGACCATGAATATTGACATAACTTTTCTTGCTTGTCAAGGCAGTTGAACGCCTGCTGACGTACGCGCTGCTCAGCCTTTCCATTTACAACGCCTCCGAGATTTCTCGTGTCAGCAGGTCCCGATGACGCTTGACAACCGTGCATTGCTGATATGCAGGATTGCAGCCACAGTCGTGGCAGTGGATACCAAGGTGGCCAGATAAGGTGACCACCTTGGTAGCCAGAAGCAAGATAAAGTGGCCACCAAGGTGGCCAGAAGCATTGTCTGTGTCTCCGCCTTTTTTTTTTTCTGGGGGGGGGGGGGGGGGCTCCGTCTTTTGCGCTATTTTGTTTCCGAGGTGGTGGACTAAGACGCCCTGGCATCCAATTTAGCTACCTCTACAGCCTTACTCAGTACTTTCAATCATCGCTCTGATATCCGTACTTCCAACAACCATTCATATAAAAACCTGCGAATTTATACCTGAGTGCAGTACTGAAAATCCGTCCAAATCGTATGGCGTGCTTTTTGAAGGGCCAATACACCCCAGTTATTTTCAGATGGTTTCTTATATGTTAGTTTTTACACGTATAATTTCATTTATGCAGTGTAAATACGGTGCAATGCTGTTGCATGAACTTAAATGCTGGAAAACTGTGGTGGCCATGCATTGGGGCGTATTATTACAACAGTTATTGGGTTCAACTCGTCAAAGCGACGATGTGGCTGAGACACGTTGGAGTGGAGGACTGAGGACCAAATTCGACCACCTGGGATTCCCTTACATGTACTTTAATCAAAGCGCGTGGGACGACATAGTGATTAAACCAACGCAGATATAATGCGATAGTTATAACAGTTGCATTCTTATGTGGGTTACGTGCCTGTAATTTACTCATTACGTCGGTTAAGTGATGACTGACTCATTACTGCTCACAGACATTGGCTGAGGACGTCTACTAGATCCAGTTCGAGGTGGAGATGCGGCAGCGCATCGCCTTGGAGCAGCGGGACCTGTTCCGTTGCAGCATGCGTTCCACTGTCAGCTCTTGCTTCTCCTTTAACTGCCTCGAAGTGTAAGTAGCTCCGTGGCTCCACTGCGAACTCAACAATAGCGTACAGGCCTGTCTTCAACAGTATAACATATACGTATGAAAAAAAAAACGCTTTTACGTCGACCTGATTGCAGCACAAAGTGATGGCGAAAATATATGCATGGCTTAGGAGGCCTCATTATATAAGCCGAAGGCGTTTTGTAAGATTATAAAGAAAAAGGAAACTGTCATGACAAGCGCGATTTCTCATTGATTACGTTGCAGGATGAGAATGACGTATTTCCGATCTCCAGCTTCCATGTGCTACACTGTCGATGCCAACCAGTGGGCGGACCCGAATCACCGATTCCATAAGTGCAAAGTTCCTTGGACGTGGGGTGCGTGCTTCATTTTCTGTACCCCACTGGCACGTTGCACCATTTTTTAAAACTTTTCCGTCATTTGCCTTGATTTCTGTTCATTGCAGACAATGATGTAGACGGAGCAATGCTGCATGGCTAATTAAAGAGACGCAAAAGTTTTTCAAATATAATTAGAGAAAAAATGTTACAATAAATTAACAAGGACTTCGAGAAACGACGCCCACAATGGAGGAGAGGGGAGGTAGCTGAGGCGGCATATTTGAACTTTTAAGGTTATTACAGACTTCTTGAACATTCTTGGGTAAGAGTGCTAGACAAGACCAACGTGTATGGCATTTCCGATGCGAAACAATAGCAGCCACTGGGGTCGCGTGTATTTCGACGCAGTCGACAAACAAGAAAGAAGGCATGGAACCTCCCTGGTAAAGGTAATGATGTAGAAGAACGATGGCATTTGTTGGCCATCATCACCATGGATGTTGACTCATTTTTGAATTTTTCTTGCCGCACTAACACCAAACGTTTCACAGGCTAACTAAACTTGCTATGACGAAGCACTCAACCGGTAAGAGGCCATGACTTTCCGGAAGTCAAAGTACGAAGAGATGTTAAGTTGGAGACTGGGCCTGATAACTGGGGGATTAGTGGTAACCACCTTGCCGACAACGCAGCCCGTTGTGCCCACGACGGAGCACCCACACTGCTCATACCCCTGTCAAGAGTTGATGCCGCAAAAGAGCTTCGCCGCATCGTGCATAACACCACACTTATGCATTGGAATCTTCCAGTAAACTCCCCTCGAGGCCCACAGAATCTCACTTCATTAGTCCAATTACAGCTTCCATGAAAGACTTCGCGACGGGACGCTACAATGCTGTATCGGTTGTGGGTCGGCGTTGCCTTCACCAATTCATTAGGTCACCGCATTGGTATGGCTGACTTCACCAACGATGAAAACAGCCATTGTGTAGAAACTCTCGACCATGTCCTGTGCAATTGTCCAGACTTTGAAGAAGATCGCCGGACTCTTCAGTGTGCCTTAAGGAGGCTGGATGATCGACCCTTTACTTTCGAGATCTTGGGAGCGTGGCCATCACCTACTTCAGCCCTGAAAGCCACACGAGCCCTTCTACAATTCTTTGGGGGCAACGTCACTGTGTGACCGCCTGTGAAACCTGAACTGTGTGGTGTGTGTTATGTGTACCTCCTCCTTTTCTCTCTTTTTTCTCTCATTTCCCTCTCCCCTGTGTAGTGTAGCAAACTGGACTTAGTCTAGTTAACCTCCCTACCTTTCTGAGATTTTTTTCTTCTCTCTCACTCTGAGCTAGTTAGTACAGCGACATTATGAAAACGGCCAAACACACGAAGGTGGGGACAAAAAGGGGACACAGAGAGCTTTACTCCAAAGTGGTATTGATTGGAACACACAGACACCATATATGAAGAAGGAACGTATCCAGAATTTTTTCGAGGGGGAGGGGGCACCGTCTTGGTTTAGGGAGGGGCACCACCTTGAATGGTCATTTTTCATTCTCTTTGCCATGGCGCAAAAGAATTTCGGAAGGGAGGAGGGAATAGGCCTGGTGTGCTACGCCCTGGCTACGCCTCTGATATGTAGTCTCTTCCCTCATGAAATGATCATTGTGCATTCTTGAGAACTGGGCGATCAGTTTCTTTCTTATTTCTACGCTCTTTCTCCCTCTCTCTCTTTTCGCCTTTGCTCTAACGATTACAGGCAATGTTAGCGCATTCGTAAAAACTGAGTGACAAAGGAGAAGCACTTGATGTCACACAAGAATTTTCCGGAAGGACGATGATGCTCTCAAAGCCAAAATCAACAGGTTGAAAAGGGTGACGTACATGAAATGAACAAGGGTGTAACAAAAGCTGACCAGCATGTGTGAGCAGGAGTGAGAAACAAGAAATGCGGCTCAATGACGGAAGTCATCAAAAGGTGAAACGGTACATATGCGGAAGTCCTATGAAGGTGAAACAGAAAAAAAGAGGACCTTAAAAAGGTGAGAACCCAAAAAGTAAGAGCAACAGTAACAGCCACTGGCTTTGGAAAAACGCCACCTCTTTCTTCGAGAGCGTCACAAAGGGCATGCTAACACAACTGTGTTCGAGCTCTTCTATACATGATCCGTCTTGAATTTTGCAAACAACCTGGTCTCGATATATCCTGGTGACAGTCTGATCAAGAAAGGCAGAACAACCACAAGTTGCACAGTGTTAGTGGCCATGTTGCTGCCCGGTTTTTGCTTCAATTGTTCGCGTGCTCTCTCAAGCGATAATTGATACTGGTCGATGTAAACACGTACGTACACACGACTGCGGTAAACACGTCAACACGATGCCACATTTGCAGGACACAAAACGCATGGCGTGATTTTTGCTGCACACGCTAGAATTTTCGTTGCTCATGTTCTGACACTCGCCCAGGCGTCCAAGATTGTTGGCGGCAAAGAACACCGCACTCACAACTGCGCGGCCGACTGCCTTCTTAATCTTATGAGGCCTTTTCTATACGTATGGAATAAAAACAGTTTTTGTCCTGCCGGGGTTTTTCCGAGGCACATCACTGGTTAAACGTCCCGTTGCTCTTGCCGCCATGAAGAACACACTCATAATTTCGTGCCCTCACCAGATTCCCCGAAGTATTGCCCCTGTAATAAACCCATTGAAAGAAGCTGGTGTTTCCGAGTTTATTTTATGCAACCTTGGTGAGACCTTATTGCGGAGGCTGAAGAAAGAAGTCATGTGCCTCAGAAAGACACCGGCAGAATGAAAACTGCTCTTATTCCGTACGTAAACCAAATTATATAGTATGGCTGCTTTGAAGAGCTCCGCTGTTGACATCTGTGGTTTTACGAACCAAGACCACGCACGATATGATTATTAGGCATGCCGTATCGGAGAGATCCGAAAACTTTGAACACGCGTGTTTTTATTTTAACGCGCATGGGCCTCGCACAGCACACAACCTTGAGTATCTCGATTTCACCGAAAAGCGACGGTTGGGTCAAACGCGCGCCAGCAGCCGAGCACCGTGACCAATATACCACTGTGGCGGACGTTTACATCGACCCGCCGTGGTAGATGAGCACGTAATGTGTCGTATCGCGAAGCTCGAAAGTGCGGGTTTAATTCCTGGCCTTGGCAGCCACTTTTAAATGGGGTCAAAATGCAAAGAATAATCATGAACTTGAATTTACGTACACGTTGAAAAACATATTGTGCATGAATTGAATATGGAGTCTCTAAGCACAGCGTCCCTTATAACTATATCGTAGTTTCGACGCATACGTAAAAGCCCGCAGGAATTATTATTACGCTCACATCACTCGGTCGATGCGTTACGCTTGATGATGCGACCGACCATGTCGTAGCAGGCGGCGAAATATTGCTTTAAAAGTGCAGTGTTTTTGCAGAGCTCTCTCTTCGTGCCGCGTGGTCGCCCAGCAAAGTCCTACAGCTGCAGAGCACGGACAAACTGCCACTCGTCATCCACAGGTCGGAGACATGTCCACCAGACAGACTGTCGTCCATCACAGTCAAGCCGGGACTCACGTACACAGTCTCCGTGGCACAGGTATGTTTCTGGCTATAAAATGACTGCCTTCATTCCAGTGCCGATTTGATCGTACGGTATTTTAACCGAAAAATATTACACCATCCCCCGCTAAAGAGAACCACGTGTGGATGCGAAGCAGAGAAGGTTTACTGGAGCGGGAGGTGGTGTATGTACATAAGTGAGAGCATGTGCTGGCGCTACCACTGACACTGGCAGCGGCAATGACGCTGGCGCTCATCGCGGCAGTATGCAGCTGTCGCACCCCATGTCGTGCGCGCCGCTCCATAGAATTCCTGGAGTCCCTCCTCTAGGAGTCTTACTCCTCGGAGCAGCGCGCACGACAGGGGGTGCGACAGCTGCGCACTGCGTGGACTCCGTGGAGAAAGAGTGAGGAAACGAGGGACACAGCCCCTGCCATAAGATAGTTCGCATCTAAAAAGAGAAAACACTCAAAGTACTCTGTGCGATCGCCCACGACGGCTCAAGTGCGAAAACTGCCCTTTTCTTCTCAGCCGATGGAATAATGTACCACGTGCCCCTCCGAAAGCCTTTCGCACCTCGCCTGGTTTCGCACTGCCCCCGTGGTCGGCGCAACCTTGACCAAGCGATGGTCATTTGATTGAGTCACGTCACGTAAGCGAAGAAGAAGCAGCGAGGCTTGCTCGCTTGCTCTCGGGGTGTGGCCAAGAATTAAGTAGCTGTTGTTGGTTTAATTGGTCTATCATCGTTTCTTATACTGCAATAGTTGTTTGATAAGTGTTTTTGTGCAGTTCAGACCAGACAAGATGCCCTTTTCTTCGCCTGGGCCAGGCGCTTTACTTTGGTCTGCTTCCACGGATCCGAGTGTTAAAAATGCACGTGCTCTTTTAATTGACAGTGAAGGAAAACGACCACGTTCGGAAAGACACTCGTGCGGTTGGTGACCTGTGGGGCGTTTAGTAGCCTGTGTGGCGTTCGAGTTTAGTCTGTGTGGCCTGTGTTTATAATGTGCGAGTAAACTATTCTTCATATTATGAGGTCGAAGACAACACGAAGAGGGTGCCAGTAGATCTTTTCTTGCGCAACGGTGTATCATCTGTTCCAGTGGCTCTAGTCCCAACCAATGACGACATCATTCGGATGAAGAAGCCGAAAATCATTCAGGCGGAATTACGGTCAGTGATGGCCAATTTCTAGTCCATAACAGAGGTCCGCCAGTTCGGCAGAGGAGGCATACTGTGCTTTTCGCCAGACCAGTCCTGTGTCATAGATCTTCTGAAGTTCTCGATGTTTGCACCCCAGCTGGTGATCGCGTTCATACCTTCACATTTAGCATCTACCCGAGATCTAGTGCTTTGCGTCGATGCCAACATGCCACCCTCCAAAGTACTAGAGCTGTATTCGCCAGCACGTGCTTTTCAGTCTATCGGTGTGGACGGGTGGTTGATAAGAACAAAATACCAACTGAGTTTGTAATTGTGACCTTTGCGGCGTCAGTCACCCCATCAGAAATTAAAACTTGGCATTTAATTTACAGAGTAAATCATCTCTCCCCTCGTTCACTCCAATGCATAAAGTGTTGGCGTTATGGTCACACCATGAAAGATTGTAGGTCTGCGGTCAGGTGTAAGGTATGCGAGGAAGCTCACAATTCTAGCGAGTGTCAGAGTAATGAAAAAAGTGTTGCCTGTGTAATGAAACTCATGCTGCCGATAGCTATAGTTGTTTGGCAAAGGTACGTGAACTGCAAATTATAGAGACAGTAGAACGAAGACGGTGTTCACAAAAGGAAGCAGCACTTGAAATAGAAGCACGAACATTAGTCTATGCCGGTGTTGCAGCTAGTATTATGCCTACAATGGAAGCTCTCTCTGTCCTTATTGCGGAAGCAATTCAGAAGGCAGTGGAAAAGGCAATGGAGCGCATCGATGGGAATCTTTGTGAGTCTTTGGCCCAGAATCTCTCGAACCAGATTGCTCAAATGTTTGGTACAGCGGAAAATAATCTCTGTGCACCACCTCACATTGGTGACTCCTCTGAGAATTCAAAGGAGTACGGCTCTGATACGCCACAGCAGGCTACGGAAGCTACAGATGCAGTAGATGAAGGTAGTGTGCCTCAATGCGAGGTTACCAGGATTGAAGTGGAGGACTCAGATGAAATGGAGACGGATCTTCGATTGCTAAAACGCTCGAAATCCCCTTTGTAAAAAAAAGGCATCGCACCTGTCAATTCAAAAATAAAAACAAGTACCAGAAGAACATCCTGCCTAAAGATGATTTTCTTAAAGAAAATATTTTAAGCAAGACTATCACTGAAGCTATTTTAGAGCAACATTAGGGTCTCTTGAAATCCTTCATTGGAATTGCCGATCGATTCACTCTGCAGCACTTGATCTGATATATTTGGCATCGAAAGTTTCTTCAGATAATATTACACTACGAGAAACTTAGCTTTCAATGCAGCAGTCTATTCAATTTAATAGATTCAGATCTTTCCGTCTAGACCGTTTATCGAAAGGTGGAGATTTGGCATTTCTCATTATTAATAAAATAAGTCTCAAGGCAAAAATTGCATATAAGCTCATGTCACCTGACAATGGAACTCTCGCCTTAGAAATAACCTTACCAGGTTGCATGCCTTTTTTGGAGGTAAATATATACTTTCCCACAGGTGTAGTAGATACTCGACGTTTAGACTCTGCTGTGACATCTCGTTATCAAAATAAAATTCTGGTCGGCGATTTCAATTCTCATCATACGTGTTACGTTTTCCGAACTCATCGATGCAGTAAGAGATTGTGCGAGTGGACAGCGCATAACAACTTGTGTTGCCTGAATTCAAGAACGCCTACTTATATTAGTGATAGGTCTCGTTCAGCCTTAGATCTAAGTTTTGCGAGTTCATCACTCACTACTTTGTCGTGGAGTGCGTGGGATTGTGCAACTAACAGCGGTCACTTGCCTGTATTATTCGAGATCGCTTGCCAAATTACAATGTCAGGCTCTCCGACTCGAGTTTTTGTTAATTATAACAAACCCCGAAAGATTTGGAATCTGTTTTGACAACTCATTCTGAAGAGCAAGAAGATACGAAAGCCACGAGACTAAGTGCACTGATCAAAAGAACATATGAAAGAGCAGAATTTGTTGCTGAACCAGCAAATAGCACAACCCGTAGTCCGTGGTGGAACTCGGACTGTGCCCGGGGTTTCCGACGAAGAAAGGCTGCTTGAAAAAAAACTTATGTATAACCAGTGCACCCAGAACTGTTCTGATTACAAGTATTGCGCTGCAAGTTTTAAACGTACAGTCTCTTTAGCTAAGAAACAATTTGATAGAAAACACTATCATTACTTTTCAAAACCTAGTAACAAATAGGCGTTGTTTAGGTTCATGAGACCACGTAAAATGTTGCCATCTCAAAATAATATAGAATTGAAGATTATGCCCTTGAAAGAAACAAAGAAATTGTTAAAAATCATAGCTGAAAGCCTGGAGTGTAGGTTCACATCAACTAAGCCTCAGGATCTATAAAAAACCAGTGTTAACTATGGAAGTTACTAAAGTTACTGAGGAACAGTTAGATCAAGTGATACAAGATTTGCCCTCGTCAGATCCTGGTCCGGATAGAATTACAGCTGCTATATTAAAAATATTATTCAAATTATCACCATGTGACCTACCTAGCACTGTGAATTATTTGTTAAAGTATGCCTGGATTCCGTATGAGGGGAAAATAGCTAAAATAGTGCCGATAGAAAAAAAGACAAGGATTCGGATAGGCCATAGAAAACATTCGACCCATTTCTCTTACATCTAATATGGTGAAGCTCATTGAGAGGATGCTTCATAAAAATTCTGAATGGAGGAAAATTCTGAATGGAGGAAAATTTGATATTAAACCCAAATCAAATTGGCTTCAGAACAGATTGTTCAATCTGGCGTGCACACGCAGATTTAGAAAGCCGCATTCAACTTGCTTGCAGAAGAAGACAACATGCGACACTAGTGACATTAGATATAGCTAAGGCATATGATAGTGTGGAACATTCAGTTTTATTAGACATATTCGAGAGCCATAATCTCCCACAATATATAATGACGTCGGTGAAAAATTTTTTGAGGGGAAGAGAATTTTATTGTTTTAAGGAAAACTGCACATCGTCAGTCAAAGTGCAAACAAACTCGTGGGGTCCCCCAGGGCGCTGTATTATCGCCAGTTCTTTTTAACATATTAGTGAGCACAATTCCGCATTACCAGGACGTTAAGATGTTTGTATATGCCGGTGATATTGCATTTTTCTCGGCACATAGTGACATATATTCTTCACATCAAAATCTACAGAGATATGTGAACATGCTGGAGAGATGGCTAGATGCAATCCGCATGACCTTAAATGTAAGTAAGAATGCAGTATTGATATTCCCGTTAGCAGATCCCATCTCAAGTTCAATATGTTATCAACAAGAGCCCATTCCACAGGTGGAATCTCTTAAATACTTGGAAGTAATTTATAATGCCAAGCTAAATTGGACTTCCCACATAGAAAGCATGACATCTGAAGTCAACGCGCCTTAGGAATTCTTCGCAGAGTAAGCAGCTGTCAATATGGTCTAGGCAGAAGCACAATGGTGATGATATATAAAATGTATATGCGACCAATAGTAGAATTTGGGTGCGTATTGTTCTCTATGGCCCTGCTTACAAAATAAAGCCTCTGGTTATGCTGGAACAAGAAGCTTTGAGATTGTGTCTAGGGCTTCCTAGGTATGTAACAAGCAATGTTTTGTATCAAGAAGCACGATTGCCTACATTGCCTTGTCGTTTCCACATCCTAACGGTTCAGGCATTTCTGAAATTTTATAGCTATGTGCCAAGACGATCTGAATATGCTTTTATAATTGACCCAGACACCTTTTTCTTGCCCATTGGTCCTGGTGTTGAACACCTCGGATTACTTTTGTCCAGAAACAACTAGATAGGATAAATGTGAAAATTCGAGATGTGATTGCAGCGCGGGTTACAAATCAGAATCTTCAGACGACATTCGATGAGATTTTTCCCTCTTAGCCTAAATTACAATTCTATAAGGTCTTAAATAGCTGACTGCAGGATTATCTTGCAGACGCAGAAACGAATAATATTATAGCCACAGATGCTTCAGTAACGAATGAAAAGACAGGTGTAGGTATATACTCCTATTCGCTTGACTGGCCTTTTTCATTAATACCCGTGTCACACTGGCACTTTTAATCGTGATGAGGGCGATCCGGATCAGTTCTCTTGATCGCGATCAACTTTATGACCGCTGCTACACGGACAAGCTAATTCGGTTCGAACTTGGGTCAGATGAAATGACCCAGGGGGCATTTGCGTGCCGTAAAACAAGCCACTGACAAAACTCGACGTACGGTATATCTATAGAGTCCTTTATCAGCAATGTTATTCGTGCAGGAACTGCTCGAACGTCAAAAGCTTTGCATGCCCTTATACGATAGTAATTTCATAAATCCATCGCCCGATAAAATTTTCCTAGCACTTACCTGTATTTCTGAGCGAGATTCGTAACCTTTTATTTCTTTTATTTCTGATGGCCCCCGCTCGTAGCCCTGTAGTCGCAGCGAAGCGTCAATCTCATTGTACGCGCCATGGCACCTCAAGTTTGTTGCAGTTGCTCCTACTAGCGGTCAATTACTGTAATGAACTCTTGATTCGACCAAGAAGTGCACGTACGTTGCGACGTAGTCGAAAGGCTTGCGACACTCATAATCAGTTTGCATTTAGGTGCTCCAACAGCTCCGACGGAGCGAGAGTCGAACTAAGCGCTGAAGGCGACGGTAGACTGCTTGTCGTCTGCTTCTCCCGGAACTACAATCGGTCGATGCGAATCCTAATTTAAGCAATACTCCAGATATTGTTCCAATTTAAACAGTTTATAATTTGCTTTTTTATAAACATCTTGCTGATTTAAAGCGTTTTAATTGAACTAGGTTTGATTTTCTTGTTTATTGTGCTTTCAACAAGCTCGGCTAGGGGATGCAGACGACAGCAAAATTGCGATCTCTCAGGCAGATCGCGATGCGGGGGTTGCGATAGTCTCGATCCCGATCACGCCTTATCGTGAATAAAAGTGACGGTGTAGCAGCACTTAATCTGGATCGTGGTTGATCCGGATCGACACTGACCGCGATTAAAAGAGCCCGTGTGACACCGGTATTAGACTACCGGATATCATTCCCGGTTTTGAAGCTGAACTGTTGGCAATAGTTCTAGCACTGCGAAAGCTACCTTTGAATGCCTATAACGGGATCATAATCATGAATTCCCTGTCAGTATGTACATCGATTACGACGTCAACAAAATCTATGGCCTTAAAGACACTCCTTATGCTAGTCCCTCGTCCGCTGCAGCTACTGAAATTAGTATGGGTACCTGGTCATTGCGGCTTAGAAGTAAATGAAATTGCCGACTCTCTAGCACGAGCATGCCCCGCTGCGGTGATCTAGTGGCTATAAGGTACTCGGCTGCTGACCCGCAGGTCGCGGGATTGAATCCCGGCTGCGACGGGTGCACTTTCTATGGAGGCAAGAATGCTGAGGCCCATGTGCTCAGATTTGGGTGCACGTTAAGGAACCCCAGGCGGTGGGAATTTCCGGAGCCCTCCACTATGGCGTCTCTCATAATCATACGGTGGTTTTGGGACGTTAGACCCCACATATCAATCAATCTGGCTCGAGCAGCATCTGAAGGTACAGTACTATCAGTACTTCCCGAAATGGCCACTATAACTGCGAGAAGATACAGAGAACTTTAGTTTCGTGCAGACGCTATGGAAGCAATAATGTCAACACAGAAATTTACCTACTTAAGATTTTCTTGGAATATCCATTGGTGTCCTACAAGACAGTTGAAAACCATAATAACCAGATTTAGATGTCGTGTCCCCCCGCTAAATTACTATTCACATAAGGCTGGTCTGGCAGTATCACTGCTATGCAACTAAGAAACAATAGAGCACTATTTTTATCATGCCGTTGATACTAATTGCTCAGAAAAAGACCTTTAGTCATCCCATTTGCTAGCCTGGGGCTAAACTTCACAAAAAAAAATTACTTTCCTTTGGTGCTTCGAATCAGGGCTTCAGCCACGAGAACGTTTTTCATGCAGTTTGTAACCACCTTAATAAATCTAAAAAAAATTAAGCTTTTAATTGCGTTATCATTATTCCTGCAGAAATATTTCAGCATAAATGGGAGCTTTGTTTAACCGTGCTAATTCCTATTCAAGATAAGATCCCTCAGAGTAGTTACGAGCCATGGCTGTGGATTGATAATCATCATCATCATCATCATCATCATGCTCGAGTGTGTTGGTCAGCCATCCTGATTCTTGTCTGGTCTGCTGACGCAGAAGTATACGCAACCAACCTCATACCATATTGGTGCAAGTGCGGGGTACATGAGCAGGCAACAGAGCTCCGCAACGGACGTGGCACCGTTTTCCCGAATCGAACTATCACTTACGTTGAGCCTTTCGTATCAACATCACCGTCTCCACGTTTTCGTGCCGCCCAAGGATCCCGGCACATTCTGAGGTACCTATGGCGTTCACTTTGAATATTTGTTGGTCATGTTTACCGCGTGAATGTACCCAACAGATTGGATCCCACACTTCAGCTGGCTAATGTGTCGTCCTCATTCATTTGAGACGCATGACAAAGGTGTGGTATGACAACAACGAAGAAAAACTCACCAGCTGGGACGTCCACCAGCTGGGACCTCCAGCCGCAATCGTTCGTCAGAAATTTCCAAATATTGGAGGGACTTCCGTGTGCTCTGTTGCTATCTTCAGAGTTAGCGAATGACCTGCTGCTGTCGTTTCCCCCAAGCCGTTGGGTCGCTCGTCGTTACCGCAACCCGACTAAGCGGAGAACTGTGGACAACCGCCCGGTGTGCTTCACCTGCCACCACGTTGGAAATATTGCTCGCCACTGCCGCAACCCGTGCTCTTCAGCACACTCGCGCGTTACGTGGTTGGTCGCGCATATTTCACGCGAAAAGACAGGAAAGAGTCCGGACGGTTGACCAACACACTCCCGTGCCTGTCCGCTTCTGTTTCTTCGTCTTCATTCACTTCATTCCTCCGTCAAAATACGGGGTCATCATCACGTAGTGATGAATGTTTTTCATCAGTCTCGGTGCGCTCCACTTGTTTTGCTGACCTATAGATAACTTCGTGTTATTTGAACCTAAATCAAAGCACAACGTATAGCAAAACTCCTTTGGCTGTTTCCACATTAGGCTGCCTTCGTTTACATGACCACTGTTTCGCATTCTGTACTTTTCTAGCAAACAGTTCGTCGTCTACCTCCTCCGTTCGCATCGAGATGTTCGGATTACAAGGCAGCCGGGAAGAAGGACGAGTTCCTGGGTTACCTGACTCAAGACGTACGTGATGCATTCGTTTCATTTGCTATAAGACTGCTGGTGCGTCGACAGTCACTAACTCTAAATTTAGCAGAAGGTGGGTAAAAACTTACCAAACGGGTCAAGTGAAGAAAGAAAAACAAAAATAAAATATTTGCAACAACACGTTTTTGCAGGCTTAATCATTGATAATATTGAATAAGTATACAGCACTGCAGTAGCACGAAGGAAGGATGCAAAAAAAGACTGCGAAGGAGCGTGAGAAAGTGTCGGTGGGGGGTTGCATTGCTCGGGCAGCAAGTGGGAACATTGATCAAAAGGACGCGGTGGCTGTCTCTGCAGGTATCAGTAGACGGCTCCTACATTTGCACGTTGAGGCGACAGACAGCAGGAAAATCACTTCGCTCGCTGGAGCAGCCCCATTCTTTTTTTCCAACGTTCTGTAGAGTTATGGGAAATCGGATTTTAAAGAAGTTAGCCGTTATTCTTATGCTTCGTGCAGCATTTATATTTGTTATTTATAGCATTCATAACCTCATACTTGCGGCGAAACTCACTATTTTTCTCTTTGGTTTATTTTGCTGGACAGCTGTGCATTCAAGAGTGCCTCATAAAACAAGAAATTAAATTGTGTAACTGCATCAGGCCTCTGCACGAGTATGGCTCCAACTTTAACGTGCCGACGTGTGGCTATCAAAACATGGGTGAGTTTCGTGAGTGTGGTTCAACTTGGTGAAACTCAGCTCAACTATTCATTTACCTCTTCCTGTTTCCTATATCGCTGTCATATCAAACACGCTGATGGGTAATTCCTTATGTACCCTATGCTTAATTGTTATGAGCATTAATCAAGAGCTATGCAAAGCAACAATGGTAGATAACATTCAAAGATATACCACTTACTGTGCAAAAGCCTTTCTGCCGTAGAGTGCCTTGTAGTGAAGCAAATAGATGTTATTTGGTTAAGTCTCAAGTACCAATATGAAGCCCCAGAGACATCTTGGTTGCCCAATTTGCATGCATTTTAATTACCTGCGTACCTTAATAGGCAATAAATTTTAATTATCGTTCAGTTTTAAGCATAATGGTTCCGGTTTTACTATAAACAAATTGCTAGCGTCCGCCTGATGCCTTATAGGTATTTCTTCCTAACTACGCGGAAGCTAGCAGGGGACATAGTATGACCGTGTAATTCGTCTTTTACATGCTTACTAGAATACCAACCTCTCTTGCCACTCTCAACATATTTTATATCGGTCAAGCTTAAAGCTAGGCTTGCCCAGCTGTAACAAAAGTTGCTCGGAGTTTAGCCATACGTGTGCTTTAGGTGGTCCTGGAATCGATGTGAACGCTATACTGTAGTAGTAAATCCCAGGCACCAATTCTCATTTTTAGATTGCCATGGGTTTTGTAGCACAATGTCTGCTTTATGAAAAGTAAAAGTAATTCAAGAAAAAAAAAGGACTGTTAAGTGATCAATGCTAACCAAGGGAACAATGTCAACGCATTCATTGTTCAGCCACAAAGGATTTGTTGCAGAGTGCATATTTTGTTATCATGTATTCATTCTCTTCTAGCCATCTGTGACAAACAAATTACAAACAAGACGGTAACAAAGTGCATGAAGAAATGTGGAGCGCCATGCGAGTAAGAAAACATTCGTTTATTAGCAATGCGTATGTGTTGCAGGAAGAAGGAATTAAAAAGAAAGATTGCTCAAAAGCCTCGTTTTCATTTAGATGCAAGCTAGTAAAACCAACGAGCTACTAATCCAAGCAAAACATGGAAGATAGTATTTGTTTCTTAAACTGTAGTAAAGTAATTAAAACACATATTTCTGATGGTGTAGCATGAGCACGTAATCTTCGAATTACGTCTAATTGGAAAGTTATTGCTGCACCATAATTGTTGAGAAACTCTTCGATTGTGTTAGAATATTCTGATAGGGTTTCGCGCATTACCCGAGTAGTCAAGTTTATTAACAAGCTAACGCAATCATTAGCGAAAACGCTGGAGTATTGCACCACCCACATGTACAAAAAAGATGACGTACTCCACCGTTGATCAGATTGTTTGATGATTGCCAACCATACTCGACGCTATCGTTGTATTGAGAGTGCTGCTTGACTTTCTGAACACAAGTAGTTCGTCCAATGAAGCATTTTATATTTAACCACCTGACTGCCAAATTCGCTACCATCCCAACCACGTGACAATGCGATGTTTCTGTTTTTTTAAAGCAGAATATTTGTCGATGATGAATTAGCGTGCTTTGCTCTTGAACGTACATAGTTCCATATCCGGGTTTTTGACGTTGCAAAGAAAGACTAGAAGTGCTATCACCGTGAATTTTATTACCACAAGCTTTAAGCCCTTCTTAATAAATCGAGTGGCGTGTTTCAGAGAAACGTCATACGATGTGCGTCTTACAAGCCTGGGAGAGGATCGGGTAAGTCGGGCGAACATGCTTTGCTGTTTAATGGGGTTTAACTGTATATCACGAATATAACGTTCGTATTTTTTTCGTTAACATATCAAACTGTAGAAGAAATAATTTTTGTTGAATAGGTGTTTATTATGAGCAAGCTTTAGTTTCAAACAGGTGAAATATTTCCTCATCACATCTTACGAAAGTTTCCGTACTCATAATCATTCATATATCGCCTAATTATGATTACGTACTCCTAATCACTCTTTTGTTGCATGAAATTGCATTTGACTCAAAATTGTGTAAAATAATGTGAGATTCGCCATTTGAGAGGCTGAATTTTTGGCGGATTTTGGTAAATTATTCAGCCAAAGTGCGTTTTATTACGCATGCGTGCTTATCCAAAACCAAGCAACATTTCGTGTTGCTTGGTTCTCGATAATGAAACCAGCCTAACACCACGTCAAACACAAGCTATAAAGAAATATTTACTTTTATGTACGCATGCGTTATAAATGCACCAAGCAACATGACATGTAGTTTTGCAGTATGAAATAATTTCTTGGTCATCTACGCGTAAACCCCCATGCTTCCGATAGAATTGCGTGCTTTCATGAGTACATCGTGCAGGTATAGTAAAGAAATCACCCATAAATATTACGAAAATTTTAAATTGATACACAAATGAGGCACATTCCAAGCGCGGTAAGTCATATGTGAGGATATATTTTTGAATATAGAAAAATCAACAAGGTGCATATTTACCAACTATACGATCAAGCCGTTAAGACAAAAGCTTGTGCAGTGTGTTGTGATGCGTAGCTATAGTAAATTAACTACTCTTGATTTGGCTACATGTGAAAGTGTGCACTTAGCATTCGGCTCGACGACTTGGCTCACTTACTTGAAATGTATTAATAATAAATGTAGCCACGTAGTTTCTACTCGGGCTGTTTTCACCATAGAGAACATCTTTGTACATGTATATAGCTCCCTATGTCTCGTGTCCTCCAGTGAGGAAAAAAAAACAACATAGTTAAGAGTTGTGCGCAACGACTAAAAATATTTCTGTGTCTGTTTCTTTCAGAAAGAGAAGGAAAGGTAGGTGTACACTACTTGTGGATCTTCGCCGCACTCTTCTTTCTAATGGGCACATGGTCAAGTTCTGTTCCTGCCATGCTTTCTCTTGTCAGCCTATTTGCTCTTCCAGACACTCTAACGTCTTTCCTGTCCACAAGACCATAAGTGATTAGGACCTGGTCTAGACAGACATCGGTTCGATATAAAGCCGATACCGGTACTTTTTGTTCATCTATTACGAAAGTCAGATTCAGGCATAATATACATTCGCGATGCAGGTTCACTAACCAACGCAAAGGGTGCTAGTGAGATGTGAGGGCAGAGCATTTGATGCCGTATTGCGAAAGCGCCGGGTCACGATCTTCTATAAGTGCCTTGAGCACAGCTTCTTTTTCAAGCCTCAACAGAAGTCAAACCGGCCTATTGTCTGCCGAATAGTGAATGAGCTAGTTTATTTTTGTCTTCTTGCAAGGTGGTGTGGTAGCGTAACGTCAAGCTAACCATACGTGGACATGCATGCACACGACTTCATAGATAACAAAAGATCTGTGCGCCGAATGCATACATTAAAAGGGGACGTTAGGACGTTGTGTGCTTACTTTGGTTAGCTCATTCATTCTTGCAGACAGAATGCTCTTTAATAAATTTAAACCTTGCGAGAGTACTCCTTTGCACTTTATTTAGGCGTATACTATACTTAACTTGCCTTTATGTGACGAACCACTGCGGCGTGTATTGCAGGAATTCGTTTTCGGTTTACGTGAAGTTTTCCTCCGACTCGCAGAAGATCTTCGAGTACCAGCCAAAGCTGACGGTAAGATCTTGACAACAGAACCATGCCACCGCGTCTTTTTTGGTCAACCTTTTTTTTCGTTGAATTCATTCCGTTTAATCACTCCGAAAATTTCTGCCAAGCACGCTGATACCAGCTCGCGCTAGTTCCAAAGAAATCTCCAATAGGGACCAAGTTTAATTGGAGTAGAAAATAGTGAGCCACTTGAGTTGCACAAACGGTGCATCTCGCTTTCTTTAGATTTCACTGTATAGTAAGCGACATCCCAACACCATTGTACCTTTGTATTATGTAGTTAAGTAATCACAGGTCTTCATATATTATTTTTAGTCATCCCCGGCTTTAGAGCCGTAGTTTTGTTAGTCACATCATCACCGACTAGCAGTCTTGTTTCTCTATAGATGGTTTCGGTGTTTGTAAACAAACTGGCTCGTGCGGAACGGCCTACCCCAGCATACTTCTGGTGGGGCACTTCCGGCAATGCTTTTTCAATGGTTCCAGTGTTTTCGTGGTGTGGTTCAGCTTGCTGCTCTGTTATTTCTAGCGTGTTCCTTCGGATGTGTATGCAGCAGCCTCTAGCGGCTACATGAAGGGGCTCACTGCTCGCGTGGTCGATCGGCGCCGCACAAAATATCCGTCGTGGCGTTCCGATGAGCGCGGCCCCCTGCTCCGTGTTAACTCTGATAGTGGTCGCGCGCCTATACCAACAGAAAATGCATAAACTGCAGGAGAAGTATGTCAGCGAACTTAATTGGGCCAGTTGGTTTTGCATGGCAACGATGTGGATTCGCTGTGAAGACGCGGACCGGGAATCGACAGCGCACATCTGTCTTTTCCCTGTCCGCGTCTTCAAAGCACACCCACATCGTCGACATGCAGAGAAAAAGTCCCTCGTTTCATTGTGAAGTTGTTCAATTCAGCTTTTCGACTAAAACTGGAGACCTTTCTACCTGTTGAACCCCGGAGATATGTGTGTTTTCGTCTAAGCATACAACCTCAGGATAAAATGCTTATTTTTGTGCCCGTGCCACACCGGGCACCTTTTAAAGAGATCAGCGGTGATCGGAATCGCTCGCGTTTCGAAGAGTTCATGTGACTGAGAAATTATAAAATGTGCTGATGTGATGACGTCGACTGCGGTTGCAGGGTCACGCGAACTATTATGGTTTTCTCACGAGTAATCGATTCATGAATAAAACTTTCAAGTTGAACCTGCCCAAATTAACAGTCCATGTTCACACCTAAAAAATTTTCTTCACACCAGAGGAGCTCCAATATGTGTTGTCTTCAGTAAAACGAACAAGTTCACCAGGAACAGATGGAGTTACATACGCTGCTCTTGCTAATTTGTGCAAAAAAGGAAAATTACACCTGTTGGACATCTATAATAAAATTTGGCAAGAAGAAAAAGTTCCGGAAAGTTGGAAGATATCAAAAGTAGTACCGTTGCTAAAACCAGGGAAGAGCCCTATGCAGCTGGACTCGTTTAGGCCGGTTAGTTTGACAAGTTGTTTTTCAAAAGTGATGGAAAAAATGATCAATGAACGAATTTTATGGTGGCAAGACATGAAAAAACTACTACCAGGAAGCATAGCCGGCTTCAGAAGAGGTAGATGCACAATGGACTGCATTCTGGATTTGGTCACAGATGTGGAAAACCAACGAACGCAAGGAAACATCACTGTCGCTGTATTCCTTGATGTCCACCGAGCATACGACACAGTGAGTCACGTTCACGTTCTGGAAGGCCTGGCGTTACAGGGATTCAAGGGCAAGATACTGCGTTGGATCGCTGACTTCCTGAAGCACCGGAAAATTTTTGTAGTTACGCAGGAGAGCCCAACGTCAGAACATGTCGTCAATTAAGGAGTGCCACAGGGCAGCGTACTAAGCCCTACTCTCTTTAATGCAGTCATGGCGCAGCTCCCGTATAATCTTCCACCCAACATCAGATGTTCAGTATATGCTGATGATATAAGTATATAAACGTCTGGTCCATCGTTTTTGGATATACAACAAACTCTACAAGAAGGATTGAATAATGTAGACCATTTTCTAAAACAAAGAGGTATGGCACTGAGTCTGGCCAAAACAGCCATACTTCCGTTTACATTAAAGAGACGTGGAAATTTCCAGATTAATCTGCGAAATCAGCCTATTAAAATGGTCAAAACTCATAAATTCTTGGGAGTAATTTTAGACCGGAGACTAACATGGTCGCCTCATGTCCAGTCCCTGGAACAAAAAGTGAATCAGGCCATTCGAATCCTCCGGCATCTCTGCGGGGCCAAATGGGGTGGTACTACAGAGTCGTTATTAGCCCTACATGTTGCCTGGATACGCCCCATCGTAACGTACTCACTGCCCCTGCTGCACGGACTCCCAGCCTCCACCGAAAGGAGACTGCACTTGTTATTGGCAAGGAGCTTGGGGGTATGTCTGGGTTTACCACGGTCAACTTCCAGTGATTTAGTGTATGCGGAGGCTCGAGAGCCACCTTTGGCAGTACTGCGAACTAAAGAAACATCTCGAAATTTATTTAGAATTTTCACGCAACATGACAGTCATTTTTTATCTGGTGCACTAACACAAAGAACGGCAACGAGACTACAGGATACTATATCATCACTTCAAGCAGTAGTACCAGAATTTAAACAATGGAAACCTTCAAAACCACCTTGGACGCTGCCACTTCTCAACGTTATCCGTGAAATAGACGGCATAGAGAAGAAAGCAGCCATGGCACCTCTAGTAGCGGCACAGTTGGTACTTCATCAGCTTCATGTAATGCATAATGAAAAAACGAAGATATATACAGATGGATCATGCACAGAAGAAGCGTCAGCCTGTGCGGTCTTTATACCCGAAATTCAGGAAAAGAAGATGTACAAATTATCGCACAAATCTTCATCGACGACAGCAGAATTGGAGGCTATCTTTTAAGCAGTTAAGCTTATCTGCGAGAATCCAGATCCACGAAAATGGGTGATATGCACTGATAGCAAACCTGCTCTTCAGCTAATCAGAAATGTGAGATCATCTTACAGAAATGGTGAAATACCACAATGTATCGCAGAAACTGTGGAATATGCCTCATCGCAGGGTCACAACATCGTTTTCCAATGGATACCCAGCCACATTGGAATAAAGGGAAATGAAGATGCTGATAGTCTCGCGAAGAAAGCATTGAAGGAAGGACGGGATTGCACAATCCCTATATCTGGGACGGATATTCGACATTTTATATCGCAAGGAGCTAACCATTGTTCGATGGAGAAGTGGTTTGAGAGCCCTAAATCAAAGGAAACGGTACTTTATGAAGTTGATCCACACAGAAAATTTTCCATAGCGACAGACCTTCCACGACACCTAGAGACATTGATCCACTGACTTAGATTGGAAGTAGCATACACAAACAGCTTCCTGCACAAGATACATCGATCCAACTCACCGGAATGCCATTGCGGTCATGCAGAAGAAAATGTTCGCCATATTCTTTTGGAGTGCATTAAATACGCGAAAGAAAGAGAAAAATTAAGGAACAAATTAGCAAGTTTGAACAGACGGCCCCTCACAATAAAGAAACTACTTGGACCATGGCCTGAGATGCATCTTCAGAAAAAGGCAATAATCTTCCTGACAGACTTTTTAGTGGAGACCGGACTGGACAAGCGCCTATGACTGACAGCCAGAAATGAGTATTATGTAAAGGGTGGTCATGTATATACTGGCATTAGAGTAGTAAGGTGTGCGTGAAAGTAGTTTATGACTGTGTGAACTGCGTGAAGAAAACTGTGTATTGACAGGTTATTTGAGCTGGTTTCAGTGTGCTATTATGTTTTTTTTCCTCGTATTGTTAATTTTTGGGTACCGTTCTGTATTATTTTTTTATTTTTCGCTGCAGAACTCTGTGATATGGAGTAGCCGAGGCAATAGGCTCCTCAACCTCTCCACAGCAAAACAGTTAAAACAACAACAACAAAACAACAACAACCTAAAAAATACATTAACGAGAATGCGATGTTCATTAGCGACAAAAAGACAGGCGATGAGTCATTTGATCGCACAGATGAGAGGCCGCTCGCCGGAGTCACTTTAAAAAAAATGCAACGACAATGAAACGTGCACACCACGACGTACACTGTGCGGCGATTCATGTTAGGCGTGGGTACTTTGCGTCCCGTGTTGTTTCGAACAGTGCACATAATTGATATCGCTCAACCTATAAAATAAACACATTTGCGATGTATTTTCAGTGTTAGCTTTCATGCTTTGCATGCTGCCCATTTCCGGCGTCAGTACACTTATGTGCCACGGGTGGAACACGACAGTGACCGCATGATGTGTTCCCAGTAACCGGGTGCCTTCGACTAGTCTAACGTCTGAGTATCGCCTCTGTGCCATCAGTCTGCGCTGAACTTTGCATTGCCTTCGATGAAATGCAGAACAAACCTACGCGCTCTTGGTGGGAATCCAGTTTTCTCCCGTGATCGCTGCAATGCAGGCGTTCTTTCTATCGTCAGAACGTTTTGACTAGCATGTAAAATTATTTAGGCATGTAAACTGCATCCTGGCTTGACACAGCTGTGCTCGAGTTGCCAACGCTTCATCAGAATAATTTTAATCCGCATAAAACATCGGAACACAAGCAGCCGCGGCCAGCAACAAACGCTAAAACCACGCAAAAACAAGCGAAACCGGAAGTTTCCAGGGGTCAATGGTTTCCCGGTGACCGCACAATGTTGCTAGAGACCGGCATGGCTTTGGCGAAACCGTCTATACGTTCGAGCACTTCCGGTTTGCAAATATTGATAAAAAGTTTTATAAAAAATTAGCGCGCCATGCACTTAGTCACGAAAGTCTGGGTCACAGCAGAGATGGTGGGCACCTTACTAGTCCGGGCTTGGCTAGGTCTTCACCCTTTACTATATTCTACAATGCTAGACGTAACTATGCTTGACATCTTAGTTTTCAATATTTTTGTGTTTGGTTATTTATCATTCATATGACTATGGCCCACCACGATAAGGACACAAAAGAAAGACACACACACAACGCTAACTTGTAACAAATGTTTTGTTTGCGATCGCACATGCTATTTATATATCTTTCTCTCTATGTATCTTGCTGTGTTCATGTTGGATAATGAGGATAATTTTCTATCTGATCTTCGAGCATAACAGTTAAACTGTAAAGATGGTTATTCGTGGTTCTGCTTGAAGTAGTGTAAAGATAAAAATTTCTGGTTGTGCTTGAAGTCAAGTCTTATATCGGATACAGATGACATCAGAACGTAGGCTTACTTAAGATAGGAGCTAAATAACTGTCAGAATATTGAAGGAAAAATAATTGTTTGTCTTCACTGATATGCTGTGAGTAGCTAGCTGCGTCAATCTCAGACACGAGCTTCTTTTTGTACGTGGCCTCTGAGGTGAGCCTCAACAGTGCGCGAAACATAAAGCTAAAGGGCCCCTTGCCAGGTGGCGCAGCCAATTTTAGTTAGACACTGGGAGTTGTTGCACACCCAATAAAGAGAATTGTGCCACAAGAATTTTTCTAATCAGTCAAGTAGAATATGAGAAAACCAATGTTTTGAAGCAGATGAGCGCTACTGCTTTGTCCATTTGTCGTCATTCTGATCTCGCACTTTAACAATCGTCATGTCATACCAACTAGCCCAAACCGCCACGCTTCTAAGTTTTGAAGCGACACGAAACCTTGATGCGAGGAGGCGAGCTTGAAACCCTTGCCGCTCGCCCCGTGTAGCCTTCACAAGACAAATCCTTTCCCAGTCTTGTTCGGCTCGTGAGCGGGAGGATCACATGACGCATATGCATGAACACTTAATGTGCACACAAGGTCAGGATTGCGTGGCGTAAGATATGATCAGACCTAGTGAGGGGCCCTTTAAGCCAAGGAATAGGCCAGGCACAGGAATGTCGACGTAAGTGTGCTACAACGAGCCAGCTACATAGAGTCGCCGCCAGGCTTCTTTAATTTTTGTTTACCGTTGGTGTTATCCCCATTCCGCTGTGGTAAGTTGATCTCATCATCGTCTTTTGTGTCTTATTTACGCACCTAGCGTCGTTTCGATTGTGCGTCTTCGGTCGTAGAAATGGTCCGTGGACGTTGTACGTATCTGTTTCATTCAAGGCAATTAGGAATGTTACTCTGTGACTCTTTTATTTCACTGCACCCACTTTCGCTTCACAGCTCATTGAAGCCTTTGGTTACATGGGAGGCTACATCGGCATGTGGCTGGGCCTGTCCTTGTACTCTCTCATCACCGATGCGGAAAAATGGCTGAGAGACTTTTTCCTGCAGAAAGCTTTGAAAAGGAAGGCGGCCTTCGAAATGTTAGTAGCGTCTTCTTTGCTATGAACACACAACACCTGTATTTCTTAAATTGTTTTCTCCTATACTTATTATTGTTGCTTCAGGAGCAGCGCACAGCAGCAGCCACGAATTTTCACCACGAGTGACTACCCCGCTTGGCGGTGAGTAGGAAGTGTGCAGGTTATGAAAGGCTATAGCTAGAGAGCCTTCATGTGCGCGCGTCTCCGTAGACGTATTGTTGGCGTCTCCTGCCGTCCCGGTGTGTCATTTAGTCAGGGTCCATCATAAACTCAACTTTACCGGATGACGTCATCTTATTACGGCATTATGATGACGCAAGGTCGAGAATATTTATGGTGCAATCACGACGTATTATTGACGTGACGAATCAGTTCGGGTCTCGGCTTGTAAGCGTCTAATGTCGCCACGGTATGCCACGCACTCGTGGTTCATTATAAAAATGAGTATGAGCCAGAAAAAAAAAGAAAGAAAAAGTAAATCCTACTAGGCGCCACCGGTCACTAGTCAACACAACAAATAGCCGAAAACGTTGGTGGAGCTTGAACAACCTTCTCTACACGTCTCGCCCTCCACCAATTTTTTATTTAGCGATAATAACCACCCATAGCGCCATAGACGCGATGCATATATTTTTTATCGATGCAACAAGAAAGCTAAACATGACAAAAATGGCGCTGTATAAACTATAGAACTCGCGAAGATCGTTGCTCAGCTGCAAGTTAAAGCGGTAGATTTCGTAATCACGGTACCACCAGCAAAGCGGTGTTACCTTTAATGTAGCCTTTTTTTTAATTAAATGTATGTAAGGAGAGGTTGGTGCCAATGCGTGGCGCCGGCTACTCCTCTAGCACAAAAGTCAACATCGCACATTTTGTAGCAAACACAAGGCTATTCATATGTACATAGCACAACACTTAATCTAGCCTTACTTGGAAGGAATATGTTTCGCATAAAAATGACAAAACACTTTCGTGATGTTCGGTGTACAATCATACGTTGCTAATTAACCATGAACTAACATACAACGCAAGTTAGAATTGGCAGATGGCCACGTTCGCAGTTGCTTGAGGAACGTTTCTGTACTCTATGAAATTGGCTTGAGTAGTCTGACAGCAGCTGGTTGCGATTGAAAAGAAAGACATCAGTGTTTGCTTCACTTTCGTATCTTCTGGTGTTTTTGCAGGTCGAATCCACGTCCAGGTGACTGGGGTAGCATTCGAAATGCGGACAGTAGCCCGAAGATATTGTTACCACCGTCGTACTAGTAGTATATAGAAGAAAATCACGATGTATTGATGAATACACAGTCACTTGTCTAACTAGGCAGCTTTCTCGCACTTTGACACACTTCGACATGGCTTGTGAAATTGACAGCTTTTTCGTGCAGCACACGCGTCTGGTTTACGATGGGAGGGGAGTGTTTTTAACAGAGAGGGTTTCAAAGAATACTGTTACTTCTGAGTCGGGTGGAGGATTAAAGTATCAATTTTATTACATTCTCGATGATATGTCACAGCGAAAACCACTGAGAGGTTTCATCCGTCGGCTAAGGTGGAGAATTCTCAATTGACCAATTCGGCAGAGTGCCACTGTCACATAGAACAATTTTCAGCGTATTGTGAAGATGGTTAATGAAAATGATCATGGGTGCAATGCTTACATATATAAATTCCTTATAGGCCCTGATCTGTGAACAGTCAAACTTTCTTAATTACTCGAATATTTTAACAAAACCAAAAGTTTTAAAGTAGTGAAATGTAGCCTCAATAATGCAATTAGGTATTAATTTAGATCTGGGGCCGATAAAGATTTTACACTAAAGCCGATTTCTCAGTGTCTCTGAGTTTTTTTTTACCTAACCAAACATGATACGCTCAATTATCACTGTGTAGACTATATGAACTGCTTACGAAAACAGTTATTTTTTAATTGTGGATTGTTTAGGAAATGTTAGCTCTTGACACAGCGGCGATGGCTACTTTTGGCAGAAAATAGGGTTCGTGCAGATAACAGAAAAAAAATTGCACAAAAGAGCACCCAGGAAGCGTTCATGTAAATCTATAATAACTACAATAATAAATGCTGTGCTTTTTATGTTCCAAAACCACGATATGATTGACGGACGCCGTAGTGCAAGGTTTCGGGAAAGTTTTCCACCTGAATTGTCTCCATCAAAATGATGACACTGGTAAATCAGTGAAGCCATACAAATTATCACGTATTCGCGACATCTTTTCATGTAGTGACCCGAAAAAAACGCAAAATACAGCCCTGTCACTTAACACAATAGTTCACATAAAATGCAGTTACATAAACACCCTATATGCTGAAAATAATCCACAACGTCTAGTAACGTAACAACACTGCAAAAAAAAAAAACAATCCAGCCAGAGGAACACAGAATATTTTTTTTATGGGAAAAGACACATAACGCGATACATTCAGGTAAAACTGAATGCATAAACTCAGCCTTAAAGGTCTTAATATTTTCTAGTATACCACTCGCCTCCAGAAACTTGTTAATCACTAGTAGAGTCCGTTTTTTTTACGTATGTGTCAGCCGTTGACGTATGAGTTCCTGAGTGTGAAGGGCGTACGATGCAGGGCCATTTAGTATAGCAGTAGCTGTGTTCTTGATGAGGATAGCAGTGCTTCGTGGAGGAAGGATATGTGCAGCGAAAGTGCGCTACGTCGATGTGTCTATTAGTCACCGATTACTAAGGAATCCCTATGATGATGGCGTTGAAGGATATAAGGCTTTTTATAAATACATGAAGATCAAGATGACAAGCCTGGTATGTTTCTATTCTCCCGACTAGAACCCTTTGCCCTGATATTGTTGTAACATTTTTGGGCGAGAGGCAGATCATAATTAGAGCCCGACGTTGCTGTGTGCTAAAATGACTGAGAACATAAAATTTCCGCAGATGTTTGTTAACGCGTACCTCTTATCTTGGCGTAAAAGCAATTGCATCGTTCTAGGCCTTCCCCATGCCATTTTTTCACAGCGTTGGCGCGAACTGAGTTTAAATAATAACGTGCCTGTAACATTTTTCGTGTAGCAACTGGTGTAATTGACAAAAACGCAATACTACGCTCTACCAACAGTCCCTTCTAACGTATCTTGTATTTCACTTTCTGTTTATCATGTATTGAAATGAAATTTTTTACACAGGATTGCGCAGACAAAGTCTCACAATTTTATATTCGAAATATTAATGAAAGCCTCCATAAGATCTCCGTGTTTCTAATCACTTACATATTCTGTCTTCACACCACAGCTGATGATGATGTTTTCTATAATTCGAACACCTATTTTTTTAGAAGTAATAAACTAAAAAACGAGAGAAACCAGCGCCGAACTGTACGACACCGATCTATTTGACATGTCCACGCCACGTTTCGAAATTTTGCTTCATTCTACAAGATGGCACCACGACACCGCTTCAGAAGCTAGGTAGGTTTTTGAGGTTCAGTGGACGCCTAGTGCTTGATAACAACAGGCAACAACCAGGGCAGGTTTCCCATTTCCCGTCACTGCACAGTTGTCGTGAGCATGAGTAGTTGTGGGTTGCGGTGGGCAGTTGCCGACGTTTGACCAATTTTTCCTGCAACTGTTGCTTGACATGTAATCAGCCGATCTTCCGCGGCCGACGAATAATGAAAGTGACGCAGGGAAAGGGTGATGATATTAGATGTTATTTTTCTCATTAGTTGCCCATTTATAATATAGACTCGCCTGCCTATTTCTTATTTTTTATGTGATCAGGCTGAAAAAAAGAAAAAAACTGTTTGCTTTTATTTGGCAAAGGTCACACCAGAATGCATAGGAACTTTCAAAATTGTTTTGGAATCTTTTGATAAAATTGGCCGTTAGGACTCCAGCAGTTTAGTTAAGTATGGATGTAACGCGAGCACCAGCAGTCGCAGGTGCATTAAAGCTGACATGTTCAGCTGATGATCAGAATATCGATGACCGCTTACCTTGCTCACCGCTGTCGTCATAAAGGGACTTTTACAGGTTTGTGAAATAATGTTAGTAAAGCTGGTTAAAGTGAGTGATTGTAAGTTAGCTCGAAAAAGCTTGGCAACATTATATTTTGGGAGCTGGCCTAATTAGGTTGAACCCTGTGATGAAAAAACAAATTCAATCCCTCACTCAACGCTCACGAACATTGGTCATCAAAAACGCCCCATTTTCTCAAAATGACGTCATGTGACTGCTAATGTGTCCGAAATGCGATGGGCATGGCCTAAAATTGATGCGTGCAGTGTTCCTGCATCGTTTTTCTTTTTTTTTCTTTTCAGGCAGTCTGCGTAAGTGAAAGTTGATGATTGATTGATTTGTGGGGTTTAACGTCCTAAAACCACCATATGATTATGAAAGACGCCGAAGTGGAGGGCTCCGGAAATTTCGACCACCTGGGGTTCTTTAACGTGCACCCAAATCTGAGTACACGGGCCTACACCATTTTCGCCTCCATCGAAAATGCAGTGCGTAAGTGAAAGTTGCAGCTCAACGTATGCGGAGCACATTATAGTAACGCAAAGTTTGTGAAAAAAACAGAATCAAGAAGGAACAGATTATTAGCTTGCACTATTGCTATGGCTCTTAAACACACGTGTCAGATTCTAGTAACGTTGTTTGTCAGTTCCCACATGGACGCGAAGTATTATTGAAACCATCCTTATGGTGTTTTTTTTTTGTGAAGTTTGCACTACTAGAGTATGCTCAGTGAACACCAACTTGCCTAAGAAGTTATTCTAAACTTGTACAGTCACCGACCAAAGTTAAGACACTACTTGGTCTGAGAAAACTTTGAATGTTCGTGCAATTTTGGCTGTATTCGGTCGAACAGCACAGTACACGTTGTTAGCATGTTTTAGAACAAGTCGGAAAACTAAAGCTGCCCGACAAAGTGGCAGAATTATTCAGCGTTTTCAGTGCCATGGTCCTCAACTAAAGTTTTGTCGTGGACTACTTTGTTCAGCGACATGGAAGCTGATAAGCCACCGCCATCGCCAGAATTTCGATCGCATGCACGACAGAGCCATCTTTGTCCGGGGTGAGGGAGAGGGCGGAGGGTCACATAGAGTGAGCGATTACGACAACGCTCGGCCTGTCCTTATCTCTTGCCTGATAACAGGGCTGGCTCACTATCAATTGGGACGCATTTCAACCTGCAGTCACCGTGCTGGCCGCGACGACAGATGATAGTATGAATCGAGATGATCTTTTCAAAATGCAGGTGCGAGATTAATCACATCCTGTCGCTATGGAAAGAAACGCGAACAGCAAAAAGTATGGCTTCCGGCCCAGTTGGACACTGACATGCGTTGTCTGCAGTTCAGTGAATCTCTGCTTTCAGTCGACATCACCTTAGCGTTTGAATATTGATCAGGCTGGCACTATCGAACGGCGTGTGATTTCCGAGTACGAGGCGTGACTGGCAGGTGATGAGTACTTGCGGCATGAGAAAGTCAGCCGGAGCAAGATCCTTGCGCGCTGCGGTGAAACCGGCTGAAAGCAGAGACTCGCCGAAACGATAAACAAAGCATGTGGGAGTTCGGCTGGGCAGGAAGCCACGCTTTCCACTGTTCGCATTTCTTACAGCAGTCACAGTACATGAAAGCGCGTGCAGTTATGTCAAGACACGACTGGCTTGATTTGTGAACCTGTCGATAGAAGTACGCGCGTTTGGTGACCGTGCTCACGACGGCTGTTGGCCAGACAGTATGGAATTGATTGCTCCGAAGCACATTGGTGTGGTTTCGTGAGATGAGACGTTGACGGTCGTGCGATTCCCGGTTTTCTACCTGAGCCAGCCCCCTCAACTTTCACTTTGCCAAGTGTAACAAGAAGTATTTCTTGGGAGAACACGCTGCGTGAAGCTTTTTCTAAGCATCGCACTTCGCAGGTGGTCAGCTACCTCACCACACCAGGTAAGTGTAAATAATGCTGCTTTTTTTTAAGTGCCACAAACATAGCATGCGGCGGCAGGGATCCCAAGATAAATTTCTATCACTGCGGGCTCCCTTTCGCGATTGTTGACAGGTATAGTGGTCTTGAGGTTTTGGTCCCACACTTGGTCCCACACAAATGTAATGAATACTAAACTCGTGTTTTTGGACGTTATAGATCGCAACACTTGTCAGTATGGTCCACTGTTAGTGGGAACACGTGAGCTCGTGGCCGGTGAGCCGTGTGGCGCCAACTGGCGGCGAGATTTGTAAATACGTTGCATGCGTATAGATTCATAATCGT